AATCATGTGTTTTTAAGTTTGTCAACTTCCGATTATATTTCACGCAACGTAAAATATTCGAAGCATATCCATCTGGCAATCGAACTGATTTTAAAAAATCAAGAAAACATATTACATATCTTCTCTTCTTTGGTGAACGTATAACTTGCATAAGGTTTCTTTAGAACACTAGAACTTGACTTTTGTAACCATAAATCTTTTCGAATGCCTAAATCCTCCAAATCCATCCTTGCTTTGATCGTATCTTTAGATTTTTTTTTCGTTCCCTAATAAGGTATAAATGATATTATCACACACATTTTTCTCAATGTGCATGACATCCAATTTGTGTCGTAGTTTTAACTTCGACCAATACTCTAATTCGAAGAAAATACTACGAGTTGACCAATTACGCAAAGGATACAACCCATGAAATTTCCTTTTCATACTAGAATTGTTTGGTGTTTTCCCAGAAGTCATTAGAGGTAATTGATCTAGTAACTGAATGATCTCATCACCAGATTTCGGCCTACTTGTTTCATTAAATTCAACGAAACCATCAAATTCTTTACTTCTTCGCCATCGATGACTAGAAGGTAGCCACTTCCTCGACCCCATATAACATTTTTTGCTTCTGATACTACAAAGATGCGTGTTTTCTAAACATTCGGGGCATGCCAAGTGTCCTTTTGTGGAGTAACCAGACAAGTAAGCATATGCAAGAAAGTCTGATGTTGTCCACAATACAACAACTTTAATATTGAACATACCTCCACTAGTGGCATCATATGTTGTTATTCCAATCCACAAAGTCTTTAACTCGTCAATTAATGGACGCATGAAAATCTCAAAATCTTTACCTGGGGATTTTGGACCTGGAATCAGCAAACACATCATATAACTAGTTTGATGCATCATCTTCCAAGGAGGAAGATTCAATGCTTTTACCATTGCAAGCCAAGTGCTATATGATGCACTTATATTCCCAAAGGGGTTGAAGCCATCTGATGTCAAACCCAACCTTACATTCCTTGAATCTGTCGCAAAAGCAGAATAAGTCTAGTCAAAGTCTTTCCAAGCCTCACCATCAGCTGGATGATGTAACACACCTTCTTCTGGCTTTCGTTTCTCGGCATGCCATCTCATATCTTCAGAAGTATGACGTGAACTATAAAGTCGTTGAAGTCTAAGTGTTAAAGGAAAATATATCATCCTCTTAAAAGACCTTGTTCCTCTTGTATCGAGGATGATTACATATAGGACATGCAAGTAGGTTAGCATGTTCTCCATAAAACAGAGTACAATCATGATTACAAACATCAATATTATGATAACCCAACCCAATCTCCATCAAGATTTTCTTTACCTCATAGTATGATGTAGGAAGATTGTGGCCGGATGGGAGAATACTTTGTTCAAACTATAACAACATGTTTACTGATTTATCAGACCACTTGTTCAAGACTTTGATGTGCATCAACTTCACTATATATTGTAGTAATATCAGATTCCTTGATCCTGGATACAGTTCCTTGTTAAGTTGCTCAATCAACTTGTCAAAACGACCACGGTTAACATCAGACTTATCCTCAACGTCATTTTTAGTTGTACGGTCAACATTTATAAACATGCGTCCTTCATCCATAATAGAGTCCCTCAAAGTATGGTCATCCACTTCTATTGCTAGCAAGAGCAATCTTTAACTATTGTTCAAATTTTAAAGCAATAAGGAACTGGTGTCAATACATTGTTTTCATGTTCTTGTGAAATTACATTGCATTGTCTTTTCCTAAATGTTGTTTTGATGAAAATTCTAGCATTCTTATTTCAAACATCAATTTTCCATTTCCTACGCAATATTTAACAATCAGATGAATCATGCATCCACCTCGAAGTTCACAAGTTGTTTCTCTATATCTACATATAATTAACGAGTCACTTAGGTAAATGATCTTAAAGGAACTCTTAATTAAATTCATGACCTAAAACAGAATTTCTAAGTACGATCATAATCAAAGCATATAAGAACGCATATAGATATACATACAGAGAGGAATAGAAAGATTGAGACCATCTCATCCTGGTGAAGAGCGATCCAAACATGAACTTTACCATTGATTGCCACAACACAAAAGCGCCCAATGACATCCCGAAAAATCGCTAAATAGAAATCAACGAGATTGTCTCCCTGTTGTTCGAGCAACCGATGCAGAGAAGAGAAAAGAAGATCAATAAGATCAATCGATGCGATGGGGATGATCACAATTGAAGAAAACGCAGGTGATTGAACATTATTGAGGCTTCTGGTGATTGAGCGACCGATTTAGGGCTTCTGGTGGTGATGGAGCGACGAGAAGAAAATGCAGCATAAAAAATTAATTTTGATTTTTTATTTAATATAAATCTATATAGATCATATATATTTTTTATTTAATTTTGATTTATTTTTAACATAAAACTTTTAGATATATTTTTAAAGGGTAACTAAAAACCTTTATTTAATTTTAAAAATTTTAAACTTTTTCTTAATCTTTAAAGAAGCTTAAAAAAGTGTTTTTTAAAAATTGATGCAACTCTTTAGAGACATTTTTTTTATATAAAACTTCTCTAAAACTTTTAACGACATTTCTTACACCGTATAATTAGCCTATAAATCCTTCTTTAAATGTCGTCTAACCTTTAGTTACATTTTTCATTTTTGTCATTTAAATTCTTTTCTATAATATAGCTTTAGATACACTTCTAAAAGTTTTTCTGAAGATTTCTTCTCTAAAGCTCTTTTCTCTTGTAGTGAGGGGTTCTCAAGCTTATTCTTTGAGGTTTCGTATTACAAGTGCTACAATGGTCATAGAATATTCAATTTCAATTGTGACTATAAGTAGTCTATGGCCAAAGTTTTTAGCTATTTTGTATGACCAAAAGTCAACCAATTGTTATGGTTTTATAATTTAGCATAACCATAAATCAAGAATTGGTCACGGTTAATATAAAATTTGTGTGGCTATAAATAGTCTATTGCACCATTTTAGTTATTCACGTGACCAAAAAAGGTAAGCAATTGACACAATTATAAAAATTCAAACGTAACCATACATCAAGAATTGGTCATGCTTACCATCAAATATATGTGACTATAACTAGTTAACTGCCATGATTTAGGTTATTCATGTGACAAAAAGGTAAGAAATGGTGA